CCCAGGCTGGAGTACAGTGGCATGATCACCACTAACTATCTCACTATAGCAGTGATCAACCTCCTGGGCTCAAGTGAGTTCTCACCCCCAGGTAGCTGGGACTACAGGTGCATGCCACCACACCTGGCAAATTTTTTATTTTTTGTAGAGATGGGGTTTTACCTTGTTGCCCAGGCTGATCTTAAATTCCTAGGCTCAGGTGATTCTCCCACCTCAGCTTCCCAAAGTGCTGGGATTATAAGCATGAGCCACCGCACCTGGCCTGGAAAGATCAATTTCTGTTTAATCAAAAAAACGATAAACATCAGTTCTGTGGGACAAGTGGGCCAGTTTCAAATCCATCCCTTGATCTGGAGCCCTCCCTTTGCATCCCTCTCTGCTCCATGTGACTGTTATTTATCATGTGAATAAAATCTATGGGACAGTTAAATAAAAATAAAAGGACAGAGGTGACATCAATGGGAAATCTCTGTCCCTTCTGTTTAATTTTGCTATGGACCTAAAATTCCTCTAAAAATGAAGTCAATTCATAAAAGGGCAAAATTAGGAAAATTTTACAAAGTTTTTACTTGCCCCTCACCCTGCTTTCCTCCCTGGCTCTTCAGCAATCTCAAAGCCTACATTCACAGCAAAGGATGCAGTTATGACATTCCCACAGCAAACATCAGAAAACTGAAAACTTTTCCCTTAAGGTCAGTGATAAGACAAGGATGCCACTTCTCTTCAGCATTGTATTGGAAGGTCTATTTACAGCAATTAGACAAGAAAAAGAAATAAAAATCATTCAAATGGGAAAAGAAGTAAAACTATCTCTATTCATAGATTATGTGATCTTGTATATAGTAAACCCTACATTTCTATAACAAACAACGATTTGAAAATAAGAAAATAGTTCCATTTGCAACAGCATCAAAAAGAATAACATATTTAGGAATAAATTTAACCAAGAAGGCACAAGACTTGCACACTGAAAATTACAAATCATTGCTGAAAGAAATTGTATAAGCTCCAAATAAATGAAACTACATACTGTGTTCATGGGTTAGGAGACTTAATATTGTTAAGATGGCACTACTTCTCAAAGCAGTCTACAAATTCAGTGCTATCCCTGTCAAAATTCCAGTGGTCTTTCTGCAGAAATGGAAAAGTTGATCCTAAAGTTCATATGAAATTTTAAGGGATCCAGAATAGCCAAAACAGTTTTGAAAAAAGAACAAAGCTGGAGGACTCACTCTTCTTAATTTTAAAACTTAATACAAAGCTTCAGTAATTAAAACAGTGTGGTACCACTGTTAAGGGTAGACATAGACCAATGGATAGGATTGAAAATGCAGAAGTGAAACCATACAGAAATGGTCAATTGCTTTTCAACAAGGATGCCAAGACCATTTAATGGGGAAAGAATAGCCTTTTCAATAAATGGTGCTGGAACAACTGGATAACCACAAGTAAAAGAATGAAGGTGGACCTCTACCTCCCACTGTACACAAAAATTAAAGTCGATAAAGATCTAAATGTAAAAGCTAAAAGTCTTAGAAGAAAGCATAGGGGTTAATTTTCATTACATTGCATCTGAAAAATTGTTTCTTAGGTATGATACCAAAAGCAGAAGCAACAAATGGAAAAATAAATTGGGCCAGTCTCAGTGGCTCACACCTGTAATCCCAGCACTTTGGGAGGCAAGGCAGGAGGATCATTTGAGCTCTGAAGGTCAAGACCAGACTGGGCAACATAGACTCCTTCTCTACAAAAAAAAAAGTCCCCCAAAAAATAGCTGGGCGTGGTGAAAGGCACCTGTAGTCCCAGCTACTTGGGAGCCTGAGATGGGAGGATAGCTTGAGCCTGGGAGTTTCAGGCTGCAGTGAGCACATGATTGTACCACTGCACTCCAGCCTAGATGACAGAGTGAGACCCTGTCTCAAAAAAGAAAAAAGAAATTGGAATTTATCAAAATGTAAAACTTTGTGCACCAAAGGATACTACTGGAAGAGTGACAGGACAACCCAGAAGAATGAGAGAAAATATTTGCAAATCATATTGGCCT